CCTGCTGGTACACCATCAGCCTAACACAACCCAGTGCTTGAAGAATCACTGTTATTGAGGCAAGCTGTCAGGACCCACTGACTGGGAGGAGAGGCAGAGAAAAACAATAACACTGAAGGGCAGGGGGGAGCACAGGAGCAAGGGATAGCTCGGGGGAACGTGACTGAGTAAGAGACTGCAACTGGCTTCAGCAGCAATGTTCATGACTGAATTCTTGACATGTTTTTACTTGCTCATAACCCTGAGATATGCTGGTACACATACTATAAGAACAACTGTCCAGGTTGTCAACTTATTATAGCCTGTAGATCAGTGTACAGCATATCTACTGTAGCCCCTCGGACACTGGATGCGGTAGTTAAGAAGCGAGCCTCATCCATATTCTTGGCATAGAGAAGCTTTTGTGTATAATGTACTTGAACACCAGAAGCAACGTATGCGCTCATCTGCACTCAGGTGCTTTAACGAGCCTTAGGGTGAATAATCTTACTGTGTTGTCAGATACGTTTGTTTGTTTGGAAGTATCTGTAATGAGGCAGAATCTCTGCAGTTCACCTTCATGTGTTTTGCCATATTTCCACATGAAATAGAAATAATGTAGACAGGTCATATGCTTGATAGCCTCAGCATTTGATGTAGCCCTTCTGAGTCATGGCTGAGTTAATGTTCATGTGGAGATTAAAAATGGGCTCTTTTCAAGTTCCTTATTTGAGCATCTTTCAAAAAGACAGGTTTGTGATGGTCATTCCTCTCTGCCTGCAGGGAGTGTGTGCGGTGAGTGTATGATGGGAGAACAGCGTATGATTGAAGCGTGTGTCTGAGATTCAGCTGTCACTGTCCGCCGAAAGAGGCTGTAAATCCAGCCTCAGACATTCTCTCTGTTAATAGGCTTTTTATGCCCCGTGTAAATGACAAAGACTGAAGTTTATGGTCTCTTTCAGGTAGATGCACATAGACGTACACACACACACAAAATTCAAAGAGACTTAACACCAGTGTACTCATACTTTACAGTTCTGTCCTACCTGATGCATGATGGCACAAAAAGAGTTTTAGCAAACGTTATTTAACAGGTTATGTTTGCTGCTTACAATATTTGGCAGACGGTAGGTTTTATGCTTTTAAGGACTGAGGTCGTTTTTTTTTGTTTTTTTTACCACTCTGAAGCTTTTCCCTTCTCTCCATGTTAGTTTGTGATGTTTACTTAAGGCAAGTAAATAGTGGGTTTGGAGTTTCAGGTCATTTCTACTTATCAACCACATGTGAGTAAACAGGAAAAGTAGTGATTTAGGAAAATTTATAGATGGATATAAGATTTTTTTTTTCTAGTTTGCTAAGAAACTATGTAGGCTTGTAATTTGTTAATTGGAATATAGTTCCAACTAATATGGTAGAATAATTAAAACATCAAACATCAAGCCTTTTATCTAACTTTTGGCTAATTACCAGACAATGACAGCTTTTGAAAGCCTCCTATTCAGAATCATTTCACATAGTAAATAGTTAGATTTATATAACAGTTAAAAAAAACCTACTCTTGTTACAGAATCCTATTTACTTTTTATTTATTTTTTATTATTATTTCATTCATTCTTAAGACGGATTTATGAAGAATTTATCAGCTGACTTTATGAGAGCTAAAATGTGGATAAGGAAAAATAATTCAACCAAAGCCCAACATATAAAATGATGAGTTATTGAAAAACATTTGCAATGATGCATCAGGTTGTTTGTCACGCCGTTTGATAAATTAAATTAGCCGCTGATTTGTCAAAGGATTCAGCCATTTGATGATAGAAGTGGGTTTAATAAAGGTGTCACAAAGACTCATCACTGTATTTCTAAACCTTAAAATACGCTGATACTTTATGTACCTGCCACATTTTGCTTCACGGTGTTATTGTTCTAAAGTACTCTAACTCATACCGAGTTTTATTTAAGCAGTATTAGAACACGGAGGTGTGAATTATCCTTGTTCTGGTTGCCAAGCTTCCTAATCCCTAACGAGGTGCATAAAATCCGCAAGTGAACGAGTGAGCGAGTCTGTCCACAATAGTAATCGGGTGAGTGAATGAAAGAGTGAATTTGTGTGTGAGTGGGTCCATTAGTGTTTCATATCCAAAATAGTGGAAATGTATTGTGCACTTTGTTTCCATAGCAACATCATGCATTCTCTTCAGCTATAGTGATAACAGAAACACTGCAGGTTACAACTAATAGATGCATATTGCACATGCAGTACCTCAGTGACAAGGAAGACTGATGAGCCAGAAAGCTGTCTGACACACTCTCCTCATCACAGTTATTGTTACAGCACCTTTACTTATATTCAGAGCGACGCTTTCAGCTAGTGGCACCACTAGTATTTGTATTTGCCACTGCCATCTGAACTGTCGACCATTGTAGCCACTGTGGAAAATGAGTCAGGAGCCCCTTTTTTGGTCGAGTTGTTCTGCGAATTATCCACCTCTTCACCAGCAGCGAGCAAACATAACAGTTATCAAAAAACTGTCTTGGAGCAACATTAGCTTTAATGTTTAATTATCCATTATTATATAATATAAACCTGCTAACAATTCCATCTGTTTTAAGATACAATCTGCTGTATTTGACTGCATGAATGGATTAGTAAATGTGGATTGCTGTAAATTTTAGTGTATGGTACAGCAGGATCAGATGTAGCCGGCAGCCAGAGCAGTGGAGTTGCGCTCTGCTGCCACCCATTAAAAATGCAGACCACTTGAGGTCACCAGCTGGCTTACACAGCACTAACCACTCAGTATCTGAAAAAGCCTTAACACTTATTCACACGGTTCACATGCTTCAAATATAACTGCTAAAATGTTATTTTTACTGTCTTGTGAGTTTCTGCTGTGAGACTGAAATTCACAGTTATCCACATCAGTTATTGTTAACAGCACATCCAGCCTTCTAAATAAAGTCTTGTGTTGTGTTAAAGGTCACAAAGAAAGATGGAAGAGTCACTGAGACAAAGGAGAAGAGGGAGGCATTTGAAGCACCACCTCCTGTCATCAAGTTCTCAGGGTCTAGCCTGAACAGCTCTAAGGGTCTCCGGAGGCAGAAGAGGGACTGGGTGATCCCACCAATCAACGTGGCTGAAAATTCCCGAGGACCTTTCCCTCAGATGCTCGTCAGTGTAAGTGACAGATTTGTGACAGATCACTGATTTCTTCTGAATTTAACAGCTGGGATTTCTTGAGGACACTTCATGGCTAACGCTGATTGGGGGTGTTTGATAGAGAACAGAAATACATTATCATAACTAGTTTGTTCTCCATAACCTTGCCCATGATTATGTTGATGTAATTATAGCTACACAGTCTTAAGGTATTTAAACAGCCCTGATTGGTCCTGTGAAGTTTTCCCTTCAGACCGAGAACAGTCTCAAACAACTAAGCAGCTAAACTCTCCCACAGTGTGAGGTCCCTTGGGTTTACAGTGAAATGAATGATTATTTCTGCTCCTTTTATGTGTCCTTTCCTTCCTTTATCAGGCCATTTCAGAAAGGTTGCCCCAAGTTCAATATTATTTTAATAGCTCCTTTATAACAATACAATTTGTCACAGAATCTTTACGGAAGCCATAACTCTGGGCCTCCTGTGAGATATAAGGATAAAGTATGAAACGCTGCAGTTCTCAGAGCCAATAGAGCAGAACGGTGGTTCATCGCCTTTGCCCCAGTAAGAAAGTGTTAGTTTACAGCTTATATAAAATACAGATAACAGTGTGACAAATTACCTATGCCTAATCAGTATTCAGTATATCTCATTTAGCATTCAAGACTGGAATAATGGCAAATGCAACTGACTCCCATCACAGCAAATTTTATTTCTGTACAAAATATAAACACAACATGGGGGAGGTTGGGGGTCGAGGCTACATAAGCCTGTCGGAGGAAAAAAGAGGAATAAATAAATGTTTGTGTAAATGTACTGCTGTGCAAAGGCTTGAGCTGCAGAATGTTTAAAATTTAGAGATTCTGTCACAACAGAGTGTGCAGTTTGTATCCAGACTAGCTGGTGCTGCACACTGTAATTCATCAAAAACATCATTCCAGGAGACCAGTGCTTCGTTCCTAAAGGCTTTCCTTCTTTCTTTATCTAGAATATCTAGCCATCAGCTTTTCCTCACTGTTTACAAAACTTGCACAGTTTATCTCTTTTGGGCCTTAAATTGTGCAAAAGAAGCATTTTCCCCCTCCATTTGTTTCTTTTCTTTGTTTTTCTACCGGGTTTCATCCAATCCCCAGGGAAAAGCCTGGGGAGCTGCTTAAAGGAAACTTTTCCCCTCTTTTTTTTAATAGTGAAACAAAAACATGAAGTCAAAACAGCAGAGTTTGTAAGCCTTTGTTTTGGAGATGGAGCACTTCTGCAATTGGACTGTGTCCCATCACCGTGGCACAGTGTGGCATTCTCATCTGAGCCCTGCTATAAAGCAGCCAGACAGCTGTTTCTTTGAGCTGGTCAGCACTAGAGAGAGAGACAGAGGTTATGGGGCAGGGAGAAAGTATCAAAGGAACATTTGGAAGTATAGTGTGCAGCCAAACACATTCCACTTTGTGCAGTAAATAGGTCCATCAGGAGCTGGTGGATTGCAGAGTGTTCTGCCCAGCGGAGAAGTGATGCGTGTTGATGCCTCTGTTGGGCTCTCTGGCTCCCGTCTTCTCCTTAATGATGACTGGAGGGCAGGCAGGGCCATTCTAAGAACTCGAGATTTTAACAAGGAAACAGCTCTTGGGGCTTCAATGGCAGGGGAGTGATTTTTCAATACTTATTGTTTATGTCTTTAGTCTGCTTTGGTCCCCTGTTGACAATTGAGGCTTACAGTATGTGGATCTGCTTCAGTTCCCTCGCTCAAAACAACAAAAAAATCCAATGTCAACATGAAGACAGAGCACTTTTTCAGTCCCTGACATTTAATATCTTAATCACAATTAAAGTTTTTTTATGAGACATGTTGCAAAACAGCACTTAGTCTTTGTCTCATATCTTCTCCTGCCTCTTTCCAACTGTGCAATTACTCAGTGCTCTTTGTGCTGTGGCTATGTGATGCCTCCTCTAATGGTTTGTGAAGTCAGCCCCTTTCCTAATGGGCTGTTCTGTCATCCGGCGCAGAGCTGAGTGACATGCAGGCAGCAGCCTTTCTTGCCATCCCACCACTTTTCTCCCTGCCCTGACCAAGTTGCCATCAGGCAGGGTGACAGCAGCCCTCACCTGTATCTTCGCAGGTCTGCAGCACTGTTGCTTTGATCAGGCCAACACGGGATCGGGCAGGTGTCAGGACAGAGGCCCTGCTGACTGGCCTCTGAGCTCGCAGCCTGACATGGCTCAAGGGAAATGCTGATTGCCTGGGTAAAGTCTTGGCAGAAATGTACTCCCATCACTATCTAAAACCTAGATGATGTCAGAGCTCAGTGAGATGTTATTGACTGCTCTTTATTAATAGCGCCATTGAAATAATTGCTCCAGCACCTCAGACTTTCCTATTGTACATTAAGGTATAGTGTGCGTGCAACTCTTAATATCTGAGCTTCTGGTGTCACCAGGTTGTACTGGATATAGCCTGATATTAGCCACATGTGTTTCAGCTACGTTGTGCTTTGGATATGAATAGTGCATAACCTTAAACCAAAGTGAAAATGCAAGTCTAACAAAGATGCCAGACAGAAAACAGAAACACAACGGGTACAGTGGACAGTCTATGACTTCCCCAAAATTAGCCACAAAATAAATTTTCATCTGTAGTAGACTGCTTTAAAGACAACAAGACTACTCTAATGAAAACAAAGGGAGGAAGAAATCCAGAAAGAGCCAAACCCAGAGCAGGGAAAGTATTTTTTCACAGTATTCTTTGTCATTCTTTGTGTTCTTCAGCCAAACCGCCATCGATAGCATATACTGTAAGGGAGACTGATTTTTCACAACGTCTTTTTGAAACCTTCCATTGATCCACACACTTCTTCTACAGCACAGAGGCATTGATTTCTTGTGCTGGGGGTAAATAAAGACTCAGCATAACCATCCCCCACGCTACCACCCAACTCGCTTAACCCCCCTGTTATAACAGCCATCACCAGGAAAATTAACAAAACCTCGGTGAAACAACTAATTAACCAAGAGCCAAGATACGATATGAATAAATGTTTGTCCAGTACACTCCCTTTTTTACTGTTCTGTTCACTAACATGTGAGAGGAGAGAGAGAGATGTGGTTTTGTCCTGTCAGAGTTGCTGGTGCAGGTGTGTTTGTGATATCATTGCTTTTACTCTATACACTGTGGCTGACTGTTTACATACTTAACATCCTTTAAGCTGTTAAGCATCAGTATCATTTAAAGGAATAGTTTGACATTTTTGGAAATATGTTTAGTAGCTTTCTTACTGAAAACTACTTGCTTAGTGAAAAGACTGAAAGCAGGGGAAACAGCTTAGCTCAGTCCAAAGGTAGCGACCTATATTACTGAACAAATGAGATGTAATGTGCTAAGTAGTGACCTTCAGAGGAGCTTGTAGCCTATACATGAGCTATACTACTCTTTGCCTGGCTGTAGCTTCATATTCATTGGACATGTAAATTGGACATTTTCTATATTATTAGTATTTTAAGCAATCCCCATACACAGACTAAAACCCGAGAATGAATTACCTCTACTCACAGTTTTCATGTCTGACAGCTGTCAGTCCAGGATTAGCATGTGCGATAGTGGGTGACACGATGGAGCATGCACTGGGTGACACATTTCTTTCATTACGAGACCCCAGGCCCGAATGCCCCAAAGGCTCCAAGCAACCATCATTTCCTGGAGTTAGCATGAGTCAGAGTCATCTGCGCATGCGCGAGCTGGGTTTTGCTAATGAAGTCGCCCAGTGCACTGATGTGTTTTTAATCATTTTTGAACAACAACGGAGGTCTATGGCACAGACGAACACGCCGGTCTAGGGCTGACACATTGACAGACATTAACCGTGAGTAGAGGCAATTCATTGTCAGCTTTTGTCACTGTATGGAGACTGTTGAATATGTTGTTAATATAGAAAGTGACCAGCCTGATCTTTTAAAAATAAAAAGCATGACATGTGAATGAAAGTATTGCTTAGCTCTTCCCTGATGTGGGACTGTCTAATGTGTATCTAGACATCTACCGTCTGTGCAGAACCCATTTCTCACAATATTAGCCTCTTGACATGCTTTTCACACCATCAATTTTCTTCGTTATATCATTTTTGTCCTTGCCCTCAGTGTCCCTCTCTTCTTTTCAGCCTCTCTTTCTTTAACCTGTTGTTGATTCACTCCTTAAACCTCCTCTGCTGTGGGTAATACTTGTTTGTCTAATAGAGATATTATTTTGAGAGGGAAAACATTTATTTTGAAAGCTGGAATAAGGGATGTGAAAATGACTGCAATTTCAGCTAAACTGTTGTTTTATTGGATAATATTTCTTTGGTGTGAGATTTTTCTGTCTGCCAGCTGTCCTTGAGATAGAGAAGCCAGATATTCCGATAAAGTCTGTCTGCGACTCTCCAATAATCACCAGCAGTGAGAGCAATAAGCCAAATAAATGGGTATTTGTCCAAAACCTGTATTTGACTGATATGAAAAGAAAGGGTTGCATTTGATATCCTGCACTTTTATTGACAAGTAATTTGTATCAGAAATTTCTTGACAGTAGCTTTTTGGATCCTACATGTTAAACAGCTCACAGAATACTGACATTTGTATATGTTTTGGTGTGTATTGCAGTACATCTAGTTACATACCCCCAACCCCCACGTGTCTGCTGTCTCCCCTGTGTACGTTTACCACAGATTAATGACTGCTCTGCTTTACTGAAAGACACAGGAACAACAAAAACACCTGAAAAGTGAAGAAGAAAAATCTGGTAGAAAGGGGAAAACAAAAAGCAACATACTGTCCAAGTGAGCTGGAGCTGATTTCACTGGGGGGGTATGAGGGATAATAAGAGAAAGCAATAGAAAGGGAAAAAAGAATAAGAGAAGGGAATGTAGGGCTAGACTGGGATTAGAGGCATGTTTGTGTATGTGTTTGGGTCTGATAGACTTCCTGGAGACCTGCTGTTCATGGCGGCTTCCCTCGAGTCTACTGAAACCTTCTGGCACCTGCCACCCCGCCACCCGGC